GGCAGCGAAAAACAGGGACAAAACTAAACCTACCTTGCCCCTAAGCTCTTTCTTCTTCCCAGGCTCAGCTTGACTCTTGACTCTTCTACCTCCCGTTTACCCCCGAGTGGTGCAGGACAATGAGGAATAGGGGTTGTAGTCAGTCCCTAGCACTTCCTCTCTGCTGCTGCTTCTTCCTCACGCTGTTCCCTTGCTCCTGCTGGGGTTCCTCCCACAGGGTATGGTCCTTCAGAAAGAAACTGCTCCAGCTGTGGTGCCCCATGGGCTGCAGTTACTGCTGGAAAGCCTGCTCCTGAGTGTGCCTCCCTCCACGGGCTGCAGTGGGATGACTTGCTCTCACTGTGGTCTTCACCATAGGCTGCAGGACAATCTCTGCTCTGGGGCCTGAAGTACCTTTTCCCCCTCCTCCTTCAGTGACCTTGGTGTCTGCAGAGGTGTTTTGCTCATGTTTTGCTCGCTCCTCATTGACAGCTGCTGGGCAGCATTTTCTACGTTTCTATTATCACAGAGGTGCCACCAGCATCACTGATGGGTTCAGCTCTGGCTCTCAGCGAGTCCTTTCTGGAGTTAGCTGGAACTGGCTCTATCTGATGCTGGGGAGATCTCCTGGTATGTTCTCACAGAAGCCATCCCTGTAGCTCCCCTCCACTATCAAAACCTTGCCATGTAAACCCAGCACAGGAGGTAATGCTTAAGTAGTTGCCTCTGGGGGAGATGGGAAGCTGTTCAAACAACATGAGGCAAATAGATGGGTGATAATTCCTCCAGACTTGGGCTTTTTTTCACGTGTGGCACGCACAGCTGCATTCTCCTTGAAGGCCAATACATACATGGAACAACCTCACTTCTGCTAACTTTTAATGTTTACTGACAGAATACGTATGCATTGCATACGTATTTCACGTATAGAAGCATTGTTAAAATGAGCTGTGATATGCAGTACAGTACTGCTGTCTGTGTTGTGCTGATGGCAACTGAATTTCACTTAGATGCACTATTGAAACTGGTGTAATGTGACCTGAGCATGTTTTTGTAGTCTTGGTCACTAACTCATCTATTCAAGAATCTGATTTAGATAAGAAAATGCAAGAATAGGCATCATCGTCATGTGCTTGGTTGTTCTTAACTTGCAACCAAGCATTTAAGGATTTATCAAACAGTAGACATAAGTGAAAACCTTTGCCAAGGCTTGAAACTCACTGTTTTGAAAATAACTATATAGTGCTGTCTTGCATCTATTTGTAGGTATGGACAATATTAGCTTAGTCCAGATGCTGTCAGATTGCTACCATGTTGCTTTACACACTCCTCTGACTCTGTTTACCACAGAAACTTTGGACAAGGTGGGCAAGAGTTCTTTAATTTGTTTGTGTGCTTTCTGTAAAAACACTTAGGTTCTTTAGGAGATCACTAGTTGTAGTCCTGAAACTCTTACAGACTTTGAAATACAAAATAGTGTTGCTAATTGGTGCAGCCTCCGCCAGAAGATAAATGTTCACCTGGCATACTAACGGTGTAACATCCTCTTTTCTTCTATGTCCTCCTGGTCAGCTATTCTAAGTATAAGGAACTGCTGGGAGTAGTTGAAGTAGAAAACACAGTGGATCTTGCTGAAGATTGAAACTTGGTGGGGAGGGGAAAGGGGTAGTGAATGGTCATGGAGTTTACTTTTAAACCTGATCCTATAATCTACTTGCATGAAGAGATGCTTGTTGACTTGCTCCCTAGACAGATGTTTGAGTCTTTTATTCTATATCCAAAGGAAAATTGTTATTAAAGAGTGTCCCTGTCTATTCCTGATGGTTTTGCTGGCTGTTTTCTCCTAATTTGTTTCAAGGGGTGTTTGATAGAAGAGAGCTTCTTGGCAGCACTCCAATCTTAATAGCTTCTGAGAAAATGCATTGATTGGCCCTTTTGTTTTCAGAAGATTGCTGTAATTTTCAGTCATTATCTGTAAGGAAATCAGTGTAATTTATTAAACCATCATCACGGACTAAGAATTAAAGACCTGATTCTTTATCCCTTAAATTGGTGTTACGTTGATGTTACCCATGAGGAACTTTAATAAGACAAAGAGTAAGTGGAAGAAGTTCCTCTGAACACTTAAAAAGCAAGCTTCTAGACCTATTCCATAGGCTTAGAATTCACACTTGTTGCTTGTACCAAGAATAGACTGCATTTCTTGGAGTTTGGGTGGTGAAAACAGTCCCAAAAAATCATATTAAAAAAAAATCTTCTGAGAGTGACCTTCTGTCTGAGAAACAGAATGTATGCAGAGTGCTAGCTAAGCAATATTTGGGTTGCAATTTTCATAGGGAAAACACCTTGCCTGTAATCAGAATAGAAAAATTAGTCTCTCTAGTCTCGCTACTTTACAGAAAAGCAAAATTTAAGCAGTAGCTCTAGTTTCTTATTCTTTTTATAAGCAAGTTAGGTGGTAAGCAAGCAGTGGTACTTTATAAGCAAGCAGTGGTACTGCTTAAGTAGACTAGTTTGCCTTTGAAACATGCCTTTGAAGTATGAAAGCAAGGACCAAATTACTTTCAAACATTCCATTGTGGCTTCATAGAATTGTAAGACAGTAATTATGTTTTATCAGGGTCATCTCATCTTTGTTTATTTTAATTTTGTGAAGTTTTGTTTTAAAGACCCAGTAGGAAGTATATGGTTCACATAAACATAACATTTTAACGCAGTTTGACCACTATTACAATGAAAAAAAGAGAACTGATGGAACTAATGCTTTGGTGAATTCTTCATTGTAACAAAATCTGTTGATCAGCTGCTTTCTAGAGTAGATTTCTGTTGGTTATATAAAACAGTGAATTTTTCAGGTCTGTGCTGTAAGTAGACAGACAGTGCCTTAATCTTATTTTTTATATGGATATTTTTTTGATCCAGTCTCTTACTGATCTCTGGGAATTATGTTAGATTAGAGGGGTTCTGAGGAATGGAATTAAACAGGCCAGCTAGCACAAAAAAATTTTCATCAGTTTTAGCCAGAAACAGTAGGATGAATCTGGTGGTTGGGGTTTTGGACACTGCACAGTCTTTTAAACCATTCACTTTTAAGTAACTAATTGCTTCCATTTGGCCTCTTTAAAAGAAGTGATCTCATCCCGCTACTTGGTGAAGTACAGTAGTCTGAGTTACAGAAGTGAAATCTTGTATCTCTCACTGTAAACCTATTCAAAGCTTGAGTTTGCTTTTTTATTTATTTCAAGTTTGTGGCTCTATGCTAAGAGTGCGTGATGGAGGGGGCTGGGGCACAAATCATTGCAGTGGTTCCTGCGAGAGAATATTTTTCATTCTTCTTAGCCTTCAGTGAAAACAAAGTCCATGCTATTAAGTTGTCTGTCACCCTCAGAAATGTACCTTTAATAGAATGGTTGGTTAAAGCTGGACAAGCTTTTTTCAAGTATCATGACAATGGTTACTACAAAGAACAGAAGCCAGTTCTGCCATTCTGAGCTACTGGTGATGTCTGTCTTGGTACTGAATAGTGCAGCAAGATAATGGGAACAAAGCCTGTGACACATAAAGGGCACATTTTTTTCTGCTAATAATAGACTTGGGACTGCAATTGATTCTTTATATAAATTATACAACAATAGAGATTCTCTTTCTTAAATTTTTCTTTATCTTCCTGATGTTTGAAAACCTTGCTAAATAACTTCCTATCTCTTTGCAGCAATTCCTGTGTGTGGTCTTTGCTGCGGTGTGCACAGTCAGCAAGGGCAGTAAAACAAATGTTTCGGTACACTGATCTAGACTCAGTGCGTCACATAATGGGGTCTCATATAAACTAAAAGGATAGGCGTAAAGATTTTTTTTCACCGGTTAATTCCCTGGGATGCTGACAGCTGCTGTTTTGTTATTGCCTATGACTGGCACATTCAGAAATACTGTCTCTGGGCTTCCTCCCTGGACAATAATTCTCCTATGCCTTGGAGAGAGAGGCCGTGTAGGAATGGAACAGGATGGCAGCACCTCCTGTTTAACTGTATTCAAGATACTGGGGTGTTGTTTACTGAGAGATTGTGTCTTCGTATTTTTTCTCCTAACAGATGAGATCAGTTTTGGTAGTGATGATGAGGGGAGGTCAACACAGTATTTGGTAGGCCAGAATACTTGGCAGGGGACAGTTCCTCTGAATGCTCAGCTGCTAAGGGTGGATTGGTTGTTTCCAAAATTGTACAAACATTTCTTAAGTAACCTAAGAGTTGATTTTTTTTTTTTTTTTTCTGGAAACACTGCTGGGTCATGGGTTAGTACTGTTATTGATGTTTCCTTTCTGGGCTTATGGAGTACAAATGACAGAATTACAGTGTCAAGGAATAATTGAACAAATTGTGTGTATTGTGCATAGCCAAGCTTTTATTCTTTTGCCAAAATCAACTGATACTTGAATGTGACAAGGGAACAAGCCAATAAAGATGGAATTAAGGGACTGCCGCTACTTCTTGGTTGGGGAGCATGGCTGGCATAGCCTGTAGAGGAAGGCACGACTTCTAACATGAAGCCCTAAAGCTTGTGTTTACTTTGGAGCTGCTCTTGAAGACAACGGAGTCCACAGGACATGTCTTTAGAAGTACAGACAATTCAAATAAAAATATAAGTGGATTATTTTGCTTATATTTTGTCAATAAAGGCCCCATAGAGGACTATTGTAGTCCCTGGAATGGAGTCTTATGCTTATGAGTTTTGCAGAATTAGGGCTGAAACATGAAAATTTACTTCGAAAGCCAAATGTAAATTGATTCAGAAATCTGTTTTTTTTCCCCCCATGTTTACTTTTGCAAATGTCATCAGGCCTTCTTCTAAAATAGAATTAACTTTCATTTTAATGTATTTAGTGTATTTAAGCGTAAAATGGGAAGTCTCTATTAACAGTCTATTTATAGAAATAAATGCACTCTGTAACCACTGATACTATTTGGTTTTGCAGGTTGACTTCTGAATTTTGGGTCTGAAGGTACCTGCTTGCTTTCTCAGCAAATCATGGACATCGTTGGCTTTCTGAAGACTCAATTCATTTGCCACCTTCTGATCTGCTACATATTTATAGTGTCAGGACTGATAATTAACTTCATTCAACTCTTTACACTTATACTTTGGCCAATCAACAAGCAGCTGTTCAGGAAGATCAACTGCAGGCTGGCTTACTGCATTTCAAGCCGTAAGATTTAATTTCATTTTTTAAAGCATTCACATATTTTGTCTTTAGAGAATTGGTAGAAAAGTTCTGAAACAGATTTCGAAGTAACCTATGTAAGGGTTATTGCTGCTTACTACAGCAATCACACATGTGTGGAGATGTATCTTTGTTGAAATGTCCTGTTCTGCTGAAATGTTTGGTTTTGTTTGTTGTTGGTTTGTTTTTTTTTAATATTGGAATACTTACTTTTGACTCAGGATGTTGAAGAAAGACTGCCTCTCATTTCGCTATCCATCATGTTCCATTAAGCCAGATGTGAAATATTGACCAAATGATAGCGGAACTTGCTGAGATGCGTTACCTGTAGGCTTTTAATCTTTTTATCATGCATGCCTGATTTTGTTCATAATCTTGGTTTAAGTGTTTCATATGTAAATACTATGCAGGACTGAGGAATAACAATAAGAAAAGGAAAAATCTTTGATTCCATATGCTTCTTTCTTAAGCTGATTGTAAACTGTTTCTTCTTTAAATAGATATTTCAGACCTTAACCTGCATCTGTATGTATTCAGTTATTCACATACAGTTATAATGTAGAATACAGCAGCTAGCCTGTAAGCATGGAAAGAAGGAGGGATTGCAATTATTATTATTTTCGGGGGGAGATGTAAGCATATGCTCAGGCTATTACTTGTAGAAAGATCAGACCTTTGTAACTGCTAGGAGATGTGACAATTCACTGACATTTCACAAAAATGGGTAATTCCAGTGGAATGTATAGGATCTGTATTCATTCTTCTGTGTTAGTAGGAGGTTTGTAGAATCTCCACCTGTCAAGAGTGGATTATCAGAGTATGTGTAGTTTTCTTGGTATTATCAGTCTGCTTATATATTTTTTACTAAGGAGCTATGACTGCAGTTTCAGCACTGATTTATTGCAGTGAAGTTTCTGACTTCCACGTAATTACTCTCAGCTTATAGCAGAGAGCATTCTCCACAGAAGCTGTTAAAAAAATACATTAATGTGCCTGTCTTCAGTAGATGTGAGTGTGCTGTTAAATGTCCACCTTCCAGAGAGATTTGCCTGGACCTTTTGGAAAATCAGAAGTACTTTCTAAAAACTGTTGCAAAGTACGTGCCTTTTGAGACACCCTAAAGATTATTCAGGTGTGATGTCATTGTCAATGCCAAGTGAGTTACGGTTTCATGCTGGGGAATACAGCCCTCCAGCACAGTGTTTAAGAATTGTGTTGCAGAAATGCAACAAAATGGTTTCCTTCAGGTTACCTGTCCTGCTACTAAGAACCTGAAATGGGAGAGCATTGTTACTATCCGTAGTGAACTACCTGAGGGAAAAATCTGCAGCATGCCTCAAGCTGGAGACTAGTAGGAATTATTTATCTCTCATCAATGACTCTGAAGTGCAAATATTCAAAGCATTTTTTTAAATGTACTTTGACTTAAATTTCAAAGCTGCATCAGCTTGTATAGGCCCAAATAAATTGAGGGTGCTGCTTTCTTATTTCTGTAATAAAGATAGGATGGTCCTGCTGGAAAATTTCATTTTTATTGTCTGTTTGTATGTCTCTGAACTGGTGAGTTTTCAAGTACTATTCAGTTGTGTCTATGAACAGTGACATGAATATGGTCAGGTTTTTACCTTTTGCCTGGTAGCATAGTATATGTTTGAAGCCATGGAATGTAGGAGGAACTGTACAGCTGCATATAGATATATATAGGTACATTATTTTATTTTTCCATGCGATGCCTTCTACTCCATTTTTCCTTTTGGCTACTTAGTGCAGAGACATTAGCTACTCTGGAGTCTCTAGACTGAATCCTATAGCTGCCCTCAGTCGTAGTCTCCTCTATAATGAGGACTAGTCACTGTGTAAGAGTGAGTAATACTTCACACTTGTCCTTGGTTGGGCAAATGGCTTTGTACGCAGGGTTGCTGATCTAGTCTTCAGTGTTGACACCACTGGAAAAGGTTTTGTTGTGAGATTTTTGCTCAATCATGCTCAGAACAAACTATCTCTAGTTTAATGACAGTTATTTTAGCTTTGCAACAGAACAAGCTAACATTTGATATGAGTCACCCTTATCTGAGTGGTATCTGAAAAGGGGGAAATGATGGTTAATTTAAAAAAGTATTTGAAAACTGAAGAATGCTGTAGAACAATTAATCAAAACGGATGTGTTTTTGTAGTAGCGTATATGTAAGTTAATGCCTTTTGAGGGACATTGGTGGGCTGACTAATAATTAACGTAGGTCTCTGTGTGTCTGATGAAAGTCATGGAAACAGCCTACAGTTGCAATGGTGACAAGCATCATGTTGCTATGAGTGGCCAGTGCAGCCTGAGTCACCAAGTCAACCGAAGAGTGAACTAAAGGAAGGAACAAAAGCAGCAGCAGCCGTCAGATATTGCAAGTTCAGTCAGTTTCTATTTGATGTCAAAGGTAGAGATAAATGATTCCATAAAATCAGGGGAGGGTATTTTGTCTTGGGCACTATGCTCTTTGGGAAAGCTCTTTTTGTGTTTCAAGTAGTGGTGATGTTTTCCTCTACCCCTTTTCTTCCTATCTCCTTTCTAATATAAGAACGTAGTAGTCTCAGTTCTCCATGTGCAATCTTTGCTGTCATACTGCACGTGGGGAGCTAAACTACTGTTGTGAATAATGACTGGTCCTCACTTCCGTAGTCCAGCTTGAGTTGAGAGTGCTTACGTGTTCACATGAATCAAGCCAGACTAGCTCAAGTAAAAGTGTACATAGAATCATAGAATCATTTGGGTTGGAAGAAACATTTGAGGTCATTGAGTCCAACTGTTAATGTAACACCGCCACATCTACCACTAAACCATGCTGCTAAACACTACAACTACACGTCTTTTAAATACCTCCAGGGATAGTGACTCAACCATTTCCCTGGACAGCCTTTTCCAATGCTTGACAACTCTTTCAGTGAAGAAATTTTCCTAATACCCAATCTAGACCTCCTCTGGCACAATCTGAGGTCATTTCCTCCTGTTCTATCACCTGTTACTTAGCAGAAGGGACTGACCCTTGCCTCACTACAACCTCCTTTCAGGTAGCTGTAGAAAGTGATAAGGTCTCCCCTGAGCCTCTTTTTCTCTGGACTAAACAACCCCAGTTCCCATAGCCACTCTTTGTAAGATTTGTTCTCTATATACTTCACCATTTCATTCCATAAAATGGCTGTATGGAGTAACTGTGCCTTAGCAGTTGCTGACATGTAGCTGTGTGAGCTGCTACTTCTCTACTGAGAGTATGACAACAGCACTACAATTTCTCCCAGTCATTACTGACTATCCAGCAAGCTAAAGCCCTAGACTTCAAAATTCTCTTTGTCAATGCAAGTCAGAGAAGAGGTAGAAACCTGGTTTCCAGTTTGAATTCACAGTGGAAGAGATTAACTAGAGCAACAACTTGCTTTTAATGGAACAGAGCAGGTGTAATGGCACACACCAAGTTACCTTCAGTAACTGATGTTAAGAAGTTGTTTTCTGTCTTCAAGCCAGTTGTGAATCTGGGTTGGTCAGATAGGTTGAGTTCAACTTCTCTACTAACGTGCTTAATTATGTATTAGCATTGGGAGAACTTTCTAATGACAATGTTGGAAATAAAAGAGTATTGATCCTAATAAACTACCAGTTTTCTTACCACAGCTTTTAATGAAATTTGTAAGCTTGAGTTGCTTTTATATGTCCAAGACACCTTTCATATTTTGCTATGAAAAACTCTTTCTGTTTGATCCCATTATCCCGTTTGACAAATATCTATAAGGTAGTGGTTAGTTCTAGTGTTCCTTCGTTTGTATGTCTCAATCTTTACTAAAGTGTCAGTTGCAGAGGATGCACATTAAATTTGAAAAGAACAGACTTTGGTCTGTGTTCGTCTTGCAATGAGCTAAAAGACTAGTAAGGGTTATACACCCTCTATTGTGTTTTAAGTTTAAAGAAACAAAACAAAAAAAAATCCTAACTAAGCAAAAAAACAAAGCCTTTGGGCTTCTAAATTTACGAAAATATTTTCTGGTGTGCTTGGAAGATGGCGTTAGAACAAAGATTGGTCAAGCAGTCAGTCTTGGGTTTTATTTTTAAATAATTTGGGAGCAGCTTGTCCTCAGTCTCTTTTTCCAAAAGACTGAGCAGCCAAAATGTATGCCAAAGAAGGAAGCACTTAGTGTAGAATACATTGCAGTTCTTGTGGATGCCCTTTGTGCCTGAATTGGAAGAGGTGGGAATATATCATCCTCCTTCCCGTTATCTGAGGAGAGCAAACCACCACAAAGGAGTACACGTGGCTCTTCTGCACAAGCTTGTAATGTTGGCCAAACACTTTGAGGGAACAGGTTGTCTTGGGTGTTAGTGCCATGTGTGTGCATGGCTGCGTAGCTTGCTGGGGTGACGGGAAGGTGGTTTGTGCTCCCTGGGCCAGTCAGTGCTTGGTAGGCTGGTGCAGTGCTGCCCCAGGGTGAGGGGACAATGCTCGGCTCCTCAGGCTGTTTGGGACATAACTCTGCCACGTGCTGAGACTATGAGAATGAGGCATAATTGCACAGGACAAATGGCTTCTTAATGGTGCTGGGTGTATTTACTCAGGAAGCTATTTGCTTGTGAGTAAAATAATGGTTGGTAACTTGTCCTCTTACTATCACTGTGCTGGGGGCAAATTAGCTTCCCCTTGTGCTGAGATCCACCTTGTGCTCCCGGGATGAGTGGTGACCTGGCCTCTCGCTGACTCTCGGCACCGCGTGAACTTTGCATACGCAAAAAATCTGCCAGCAATGGTACAGTTGGGCGGACAGGTGCGTAAGAGCTTTAAAAGCAATTTGCTTAGCTTCTAATCTGCCTTCATAAATATATTATAGTAGTACTAATACCTATTCTTGTACTTATGAAAGGGATGTTATTACACCTCTGGGTAAAGTTACACTACGTGGGCTGCAGTTTGTAAATCCCTCTGAGGGAAAGGCCCTTCTTTGCATGGGAAGAG